TAGGGCAAACACTTCCCTTGGTTATGTGGAAGTCATCAAAGTTAATTCTTCCGTTTTAATATTAAGATTTTCGAGTAACAATGTAAATGATCTCCTCTATTCTTCGACAGTTATCTGGCTCTATTGCATTGACAATACGTGGTGACTATGATTTTATAACTAAGGCTAAAGCTGCACAAGCTGGATGAGCGTCAGGATTGCTGGTGATAAATGATGATGAAGGTTGTTAGCTTACTTACTGAAAATCTTTTCAAATGGTTTATCTGCTCATCTATAATTTCTGTCTCAGTACTTACATTTAACTTTGATCTTTGCATATGTGCCTGCTTCCCTGCAAACTTCTATAGATCTTGTGGAGATGGGTTGTCCCGAAAATGATACTACTTTAAACATTACAATTCCTGTTGTGATGGTCTCCAAGTCAGGAGGAGAGCAAATAAACAAATCAATGGCTGGTGGAGAGAAAGGTATACCTTCATATCTAATTTTGTATGCGGGAGTTGACCGAGCAGCTTGAGATGATCCATATTTAGAAGCCTTGTAGATTCTAGTTAATATTTAATTTTTGCATCTGTGAATGTATAATTGCATGAACTGCTCCATCATTTATTCTGCTGCTATTGAGTAAAATATGGTTGATTCTTATTTCTTCTATGCACATTTCGCAAGTGAATGCTTGATTTTCATCTTCTGGGATTTCTTGATTTTGATCTTCTTGCAGATCTTGAAGTTGTTGGGTTTGGTTTGTAGTGTGAGGGAGTGTCTGCGGAGTGTTTCCCATTTTCCTCTAACAATGTTAGCTTGGGTAAGTCAGATGGTTGATTTTATTGAAATCGTTAAAAATGTTTTCTCGTTTGTAAGCATAGACTTGGAGGATAATACAAACATTCTTCAAAGAAAAATAGATTTACTGAGAAGTAGAAATGATGATTTGCACACAAAATTACAAAATGCATTGTACATTTGAAATCTTGAGAACAGAAGTACAATAGGGCAGAATTCTTGCACAAAAAAAGTTGAGTGAACAGGTTGAAATAATGACTAAGGAAGTCACAGCTTCTTGAGGAAACTAATTTCCTTAAAGAGCTTTATCTTGAGGTTGATGAGAGTATTGTCCCGTGATTGGATACACCCAAACACAATGGCCAAGCATTTCTCCAAAATGTTGATGAAATTTAGGTGTCCTTAATGGATGATAGTGTCTTAAGCATTGGCATTTATGGAATGGCAGTAGGCAAATTCGATTCAATTTTGGCAATTTTAGACTGGTGGTTTTACAAGCAAGATATTTGAGTTATCGAACTGGAACAAAATAATTCTTTATATGATATTCGGACAAAATTTTTATCATTAAAAAAAGGCAAAAAGTGATGGTTATACGCCATTCATTCTTACAAGAGCGTTGAACGATTGAAGCCTGTGGGAAAACATTCTCTCATTGAGCGAGCGGTGAAATCAGTGATTTTCAGGAGATAATGCGTTATCTTGATGATCTTATGTAATTGTTCTCAGCAACTTCTTTAGAGATTAATAAATTTGAACCAAACTCATATTCTTGTCCCTATATCTTTTGGTATATCATTACCTTGTCTTAAAGAAATTGGTGTATCTTTGTGCGAAAATTTGACTCTTTTTTATTCATGCTTTGTGGATGTAGCTTGTTTGATAACATGTGGGATGATGGAAATTCATTGGGTCCTAAAAAGGTGCACAACTATTTAACCCGGGTAATGTATAATCGCCGCAATAAGTTCAACCCTCTTTGGAATTCACTTGTACTGGGAGGGGTGAAAAATGGTCAGAAATATCTTGGAACGGTAAATTGATGTTCATATTTACTTGGAATCCATTTATTAATTTTCTGTTATAAGTTAATTTATTTTGAAGTTGTGGCTAAATTTGTCTAAATATATGTGAACTTCCAGATCAATATGATTGATGTTCATTATGAGGACAACCATGTGGCTACTGGGTTTGGTATCACCTTGCACAACCTCTTCTCCGTGATGAATGGCATGAGAACTTGACGTTTGAAGAGGGTGTCGTACTATTGGAAAAATGCATGCATGTGCTTCTACATGGCGATAGATCAGCCGTCAACAAACTTCAAGTTTTGTTCTCCCTATGTGGAATACATACTTCATTACTTCCTGAAAAATGTTGTACTATTTGATATCTGATTATTTTATGCTACCTCTTGCTACTCACTTGAAATTTGGAGCAATTAGAAATATCGCGAGGTTACAAGACTAACTTATATCATGAAAACAAAGTTGTTTCATATGCCTTCATATTCCTATAGAGATTGTTATATCTAACCAGCTAAAGCACATATTTGTTCCGCACAATATATCTTATGCACAGAAAAAAAACTAGGAATTTGAGGTGCTTTATGTAATTTATATTTCATGAATCCCGCTATCACTAACAAAAAGAGGGCAGCTGAGAAATCAGGGGATGGAGGAGGATATAAAGAAGTAATCGAAGCCCATTACGCATTTCACACTGTGTTTTACGCATTACATTGAAAGTGGATGAGGAACTTTTGTTATAACTTTTGGTACTTGATGTTAATCTTTATGACGAGCTAGATTTTGTTATTGTTGTTTTGAGCTTGGCAAAGTTAATGGGAGTTTGTCTCTGTTGTGATTTGTATATTATTGGTGCAATTCTTCTTTTTTCTTTTGGGTAAGCATAGGTTCATTTTTCCAAATATTATATTAGGTTAAATTATATTGAGTTTGTTGTAGGGGCGGGCTTAATTCTCCTTACTTTGCTGCCTGAGGATATCCTTATTTAAACCAAAGTAGTTGTCTATAGTGGAAAGTGCCAAGTGAGATGATATTAGGTCAAACTTTCTTGTGAGATGAATATTTCCACGACATACAATTTATTATGTATAAATGCGGGTTGCGAAAATCACAGAAGAGGGAGTAACAATTTTGCCGCCCTATGCATTGAAGACTTTTTCGAATTTCTCCGCTTTCGAAAATCCTACCATCAGCGCTGGGGTTCATGGTAGCTCTGATAGTTTCAAAATATGCGACGGTTTTATTGAATTTCATTTGATCACATGTTTTAAACATAGACCAGTACTACCTTTGTATTGGCTACTTCGGCGTCCTTGGTAACCTTTTAGATATCTTGCTGTGTATTACATCCATGAACTGGAGCTATTATGTTATTCTGAGCCACTGGCTTTTTTATAGAGTTTCCCGTTGCCTTTTTCTAAATTTTGAGATGCATAAAGTAGGAGGCAGATAAGGAACATGTTGGCTAAACCTTAAAAAAAGTTCACTTAGGATCCGTTTCGCATGGTTTTTACGTCCACTTTTGCTTCATGTAGAAGAGCTTTTAGAGAAAGCTCTTTTTAAAAGCACTTCATATTAACTACTATGTTATAATGCATAATAAATGTAATCAAGAGATATTTTGGTGTGAACCATACTAAAAGTGAGTAATAGAGAGATTTTAGCATCTCCTTTTGAATTTGAATATTGTTGTGTATGCCTTACTTGCAAGTTGCTAACAATTCTTGTGTTCAATATACGTGCAATGAATAATTCATGGAGCATCATCTCTGTAGGTTTGGGCCTTCCTCTTAACTATTAGTTTCCATTTATTTGTCTTCCCATGTAATGCATAGGGGGAATGATTTATTGGTTCACCATTCAACAAAGTTTCTCTTATTTTGTGATCCAGGGCTTATGACAAAGCTGCTATCAAATCCAGTGGGGGAGATGCTGTGACCAACTTTGAGCCTGGCATCTACGAGGAGGAGATAAATATAGCTGCTGGAGATGGAATATAATCTATTTTCATTCTTGCTTACTGTTCTCGTTGATTTTGCATGTTTCTAAATTACCACCTGGTGAAGTGTTACGATTTCTTGTAATAAGAATCATAATAAAAGAAATATGTTGGAATAACTTGCTATGTATTGATTGAATAATAATGAATGTAATGAAAGTGTACAATGATACCCCTATATTTATAGGCAAGATTATTCTCTACTTCTAATAGTATTAGGAAATTGAGACTAATTGAAACTATAATCCTAATTAAATAAAAGATAAAAGTCCTATCACAACTATACAAGAAAACTAGAAAACATAATTAAGCCTTTAAACCACATTAAAATTTTCATTCTCATTCTTTTACTCATTTTCAACCCCACATTCTTTAATAAAATAATATTTTTCATCACATCAATAATTTTTCCTTCTTTTTCAACCACACATTCTCCATCAATTTACTTTATGAGAATATATTTTTTCAAAATAATGTGGCTTGAACACACCCTAAAATGATAAACTCCTAGATAAGGTGAAAGTATTAGTTATAGTTGTGATGTACTACTAGATAGCTAACTTAGGAGGTTTGGATTTGTCGACTTTGGATGTAGGTAGTGCCAACAGTCTTGATCTCAACCTCGGAATTTCTTTCCAATCAGTTGGTCTACAAGGGAATGATAACACCAGAACTAGCGAATGGCCTGATGGAAAAAGAACAAAGATACTTCTATCTCATAATTGAATTGTTTAAGACTACTTCCGATTTCATTACCGATTTTTCTTGCCAATTTCTAGATTTCTTTTCAATTGTTTAATATTACTCCCGTTTTCATTACCAATTTTNAGACTACTTCCGTTTTCATTACCGATTTTGCTTGCCAATTTCTAGATTTCTTTTCAATTGTTTAATATTACTCCCGTTTTCATTACCAATTTTGGCTTCTATTTCAGATATTATCAAACACATGCATCAGTTTTGATGGATAATATACAGATAAAGATTTTAGTAATACGCCATATACTCTGGATGATTAATATGCTCAAATCCTTCTTTAATTTTACAGGTTGAGAGCTCCTCTAATGCACATCTTCTGGCGATGGCACCCAAGTATGCTCCTATGTGGACTGGTGTGTACCCTGGTTTTACACTAAACAATATGGTAATTGTTTTGTATTTTCTACATTAACCTCTTCTTGGCATAAAGATTATTAAAAACTACAGTTCCACTCGATCCTGTTGAACTATAGGAAATTTCATCAAATTGAAGTATCACCTCTGCAGAAAGNAAAGATACTTCTATCTCATAATTGAATTGTGTAATACTACTTCCGTTTTCATTACCGACTTTTCTTGCCAATTTCTAGATTTCTTTTCAATTGTTTAATATTACTCCCGTTTTCATTACCGATTTTGGCTTCTATTTCAGATATTATCAAACACATGCATCAGTTTTGATGGATAATATACAGATAAAGATTTTAGTAATACGCCATATACTCTGGATGATTAATATGCTCAAATCCTTCTTTAATTTTACAGGTCGAGAGCTCCTCTAATGCACATCTTCTAGCGATGGTACCCAAGTATACTCCTATCTGGACTGGTGTGTACCCTGGTTTTACACTAAACAATATGGTAATT